CAGTTTTGATAACTAGTATCTCTCTCTCTTTCTCTCTCAGACAGGGTCTTACTCTGTCACCCAGGTTGGAGTGCAGTAGCATGATTACGGCTCACTGCACCCTTAACCTCTCAAGTGGTCCTCCCATTTCAGCCTCCCAAGTAGCTAGGACTACAGGTATGTTCCACCATGTTCAGCTAATCGTTTAAAAAAGTCTTTTTGTAGAGATGGTGTTTCATTACGTTACCCAGGCTGGTCTTGAATTCCCGGGCTGAAGTGATCTTCCTGCCTTGGCCTCCCGAAGTGCTTTGGTTACAGGCATGAGCCACCATGCCTGGCCTCTTTTCTCTTATTTTCTTGGTCAGACTAGCCAGAGGTTTGTCAATGTTGCTGATGTTTTCAAAGAATCAACATTAATCTACATTATTTTTCTTTTTTTATTTCATTAATCTCCACATTAAATTTTATTATATCCTTCTTCCTGCTTACTCTGAACTTAGTTTGCCCTTTCTTCTTTTGAGACCTTCATTTATTTCTGATATATGTGTTTACAGATATAAATTTCTCTTTGAGCACTACTTTAAGCGGCATCTATAAATTTTGATATGTTGTATTTCTGTTTCATTTGATTAAAAATATTTTAATATCCATTGTAATTTCCTCTTTGACCCACAAACTATTTAGAAGTATATTTAATTTCCAAATAAATGGGGTTTCCCTAGATTTTTTCTGTTGTGAATTTCAAATTTAACTCTGCTATGGTCAGAGAACATACTTTATATGATTTCAATCTTTTAAAACTTGGGGGTTGTTTTGACAACCAGCATACTATCTGTTGTGAAGAATATTCCATGTGCATTTGAGAAGAATGTGTATTCTGAAATCAACTGGTGGAGTTTCACATACATTTCAGTTATGTCAGTTGGTTGATAGTGTTGTTGAAGTCTTCTATGTACTTCTATATTCATGCTTTTCTACTGAGTTGTTCTATCAACTGCTGAGAGCACAGTACTGAAATCTCCAGTTACTACTGTTAAATAATCTATTTTTCTCTTCTATTACTTGTTGCTTCACGTATCTTGGGGTGCTATTTTAGGTGTATATGTATTTAGAACTGTTATATCTTCCTACTGCATGAACACTTTTATCATTATTAAATGTCCCTATTTTTTTCTCCAGTAATATTTCCTATTATAAAGTCTATTTTGTCTGATTTTAATATAGCCACTATACCCAGCTGTCTTATGGTAACTGTCTGTGTGGTTCTTCCATCCTTTTACTTCCAGACTACTTGTGTCTTTTCCTCTAAGGTATGGCTCTTACAGACAGCATATAGCTGGGTTTTGTTTTTTAAAAAATCTGATCTGGCAATCTCTATTTTTTGTTAAGTATTTAGCCTATTTATATTTAATGTCATTACTGATATGGCTGCTAGCAACAAATCTCTTCATTTTCATTCATCTGGGAATGTTTTTATTTCTCTTTCACATTTGAAGAATAGTTTTGCTATATATCAAATCCTTGATTGACAAGTTTTTTTTCCCCCAGCATGTTGAATGTGTCATTCTACTACTTTCTGGCTTCCACTGTTTTTGATGAGAAGTTAGCCACTAATTACACTGTTGTTCCCCCATATATGTTGAATAATTTCCCTCTTGCTGCTTTCAAGATTTTCTCTTTTGTCTTTCACCAGTTTGATTATAATGCGTCTAGATCTCTGTTTATCTTACTTGGGACTCACTGAACTTCTTGAATCTGTAAAGTAACATTTTTCAACAAATTGATTTCTTCAAATACTGTTCTAATCCTCTCTTCCCTTCTTCTGGGATTCATATTACATGTATGTTGGTTGCTATATTTGGTATCTCACAGGTGTCTGAGGCTCTGTTCACATTTCTTCAATTAAAAAAAAAACCTGTTTTTCGGCCGGGCGCGGTGGCTCAAGCCTGTAATCCCAGCACTTTGGGAGGCCGAGGCGGGTGGATCACGAGGTCAAGAGATCGAGACCATCCTGGTCAACATGGTGAAACCCCGTCTCTACTAAAAATACAAAAAATTAGCTGGGCATGGTGGCGCATGTCTGTAGTCCCAGCTACTCAGGAGGCTGAGGCAGGAGAATTGCCTGAACCCAGGAGGCGGAGGTTGCGGTGAGCCGAGATCGCGCCATTGCACTCCAGCCTGGGTAACAAGAGCGAAACTCCGTCTCAAAAAAAAAAAAAAAAAAAAAAAAAAAAAAAAACCTGTTTTTTTTTAATTGAATTACTTCATTTGCTTTACATTCCAGTTCACTTATTCTTTCTTCTGCCATGTCATATCTGCTGAGTCCCTCTAGAGCATTTTCAGTTCAGTTAGTGTACTTTTACCTCCAGAATTTCCATTTGGTTCTTTATTTTCCTTTCTGTAAATTATTTATATCTCTTTATTGAGGTTTTGTATTCACTGAGTCTTTTTGCTTCAATTCTTTAAACATGGTTTCCTTTTGATTTCTGAATAAATTTAAAGAACTGCTCTGTAGTCTTTTTAGGCTAAATCCAACATCTGAGGACAGACACTCAGAGATAGTTCCTACTGACCACTTTTTTACTACACGCAGATCACATTTTGCTTCTCTGAATGTCTCTCATGTTTCTGTTGAGCACTGAACTTTTTACATAACATACGGTGGCAACTGTGAAATCTGACTTTCCCCACAAGATTTGTTGTTATTGTTGTTTTGCTTATTTAGCAATTTTCCTGGACTAAATCTGTGAACGTGAAATCTGTCTCCCATATAAGCTACAGCTGCTGATGTCTTTACTCAAATTTTTTTCTTGTTTTTATTTTTAATTCTGGGTTCTAAGGGTCATCTTCATGTCTGCATAGCTTAGTGTTCTGGCAAAGACTAGTCAGAGATTTTGCGACAACACCTTGGGCCAGACTGGTTTCTCTCTGCTCCTGACTGTCTATGTGGGCTAGGGAGTACATGCAAACCTCAGGCTGTTTTCACATCTGCCCTGGCTTTTACTTTCTGCTAGCTCTTTCAGTGCTCCTCTGTGTGTGTACGCAGGCTCCACTGGCCAGGAATATGTGAGCCTGCTCCATCCCTACTGCTCATATATACAGACTAAGTTCAATCTGAGATACATAAAAAAAGAGCAAGCCCCTAATAGCTGTCTCATCTCTCAGAACCACCTACTAAGTCCCCCAGTAGACCACGGGTCCATTGCTTGTTCCAAAGAGGACTGTAAAGTCAAGCTAGTAAAGCTACTGGCCTTTACATGTTCGTGTACCACTGAGTTGGCCTATATAACAGACAATCCTCCAAACAGAGCGAACCCCTCCTGGCAGCAGCAGTAAGGCTGCTGGTTTTCCCAGCCTGGTTGAACTACCACATTGACAGAGCTGGTGAGGAGGGAATGGGAGTGATGATAGGCAAGAACACCACAGATGCATTCTGTTCCTACCCAAAGGTTAGTAGTTTTCATGAACAAATGCTTCTCAGTTTATTGTGTTTTTGGTGAATTTTTACAAAACTGAAATGGATGTTTTTGACAGTCTTCTTCCAGCTTTCTAGCTGTTTTTTGGGAAGAAGATTCATCAACCTCCTCGCTGTGTCATGCTGGAAATCAGTATCTCAGCTGCTTTTTACATTCTGCTAGAATTGGAATCATTAATGCTATTAAAAAATAGACCATGTGGGCTGGGCACAGTGGCTCATGCCTGTAATCCCAGCACTTGGGGAGGCTGAGACGGGTGGATCATTTGAGGTCAGGAGTTTGAGATCAGCCTGGCCAACATGATGAAACCCTGTCTCTACTAAAAATACAAAAATTAGCTAAGCATGGTGGCGCATGCTTATAATCTCAGCTACTTGGGAAGCTGAGTCAGGAGAATCACTTGAGCCAGGGAGGTAGAGGTTGCAGTGAGCTGAGATTGTGCCACTGCACTCCAATCTGGGCAACAGAGCGAGACCCTGTCTCAAAAAGTAAAAAATTAAAAAAATAAGACCATGTGGGTGAAAATACCATTAAAAATCTTATTTTCAAAGCAAAATGTTTGAGGTTTCTTTCTGGAGAAAAATCAACCCAAAAGACACAAAGATGACTAAAAGCCCAAGTTAAATAATGATTTCACTAAATTAAATTAATTAAGAAGCCTCACTCCTTAGAAGCAGCACCTAGAGTGCTACAACTTGCCTCCCTCACAGGCACTAGGAAAATGAAATATGCCAGTAGAAGTGGACCCACCACATTTCAGTAAAGACTGGGCATCCCACAGCCACTTTCCCACTCCTTCTGTTTCTTTGTGGTTTCCCCACCACTTTATCTTATGTGTCACCCATAGTCATTCAGATACACAGAGCTCATTCTTAGAATAGTCCCTTTTTATTTTTTTGAGACAGAGTCTTGCTCTGTCACCCAGGCTGGAGTGCACTGGTGTGATCTCGGCTCATTGCAACCTCCGCCTCTGGGTTCAAGCAATTCTCCTGCCTCAGCCTCTTGAACAGCTGGGACTACAGGCGCGTGTCACCACGCCTGGCTAATTTTTTGTATTTTTAGTAGAGATGGGGTTTCACCGTGTTAGCCAGGATGGTCTTGATCTCCTAACCTTGTGATCTGCCCGCCTCAGCCTCCCAAAGTGCTGAGATTACAGGCATGAGCTACCACGCCTGGCCTGAACAGTCCCTTTTCTAAGACTTCATAGAAATACCCCAACCTGGCCATTTATCTGTCTTCCTTTCTCTATCACCTTGGATCGACTGAAAGTCACGTGACCTCTGGACACCTGCAGAGCCTCCAGGAAGGAAATAAGGAGCCTAATCATGAGTGCCTTCCAGGACTGTGAAAAAATAAAATACACCATGTTGATAAAATGCGCAGAAGGTCTCAGAAATCATTACCTGAATGAAGGAAGAATCAGGCTCACGGACAGTACCTAGAAAAGGTCTCATGAAGCTCAAACAACTTCACATTACCCAGGCTCTGAGATCTCTGGATACATAGGCTCTTGAGAGAGAATTTCCCACCCCTCCCGTCTCTTACCTTAGCAAAGAAAATCCAGGCTGCACACTGCCCTGGGGCCAGAAGGCTTTTTAGCTTCACTGTACTGAACATGAGAAAGAATCCCAAAAATCCACTGGAAGGAGAAAAGATTCTTTCGTTAGTGAGGCTTGTCTTCCTTTAGCCAATGGCTGACTAGTTTCTGCTATATTTCACCCATCAATTTCAAATTATTCCACAGCCTCTACCTCATCTGTGTTTTCTACATCTGTGATCTCTAAATGAAAATATAAAAATTTAAAAAGTCATTAAGCTCTGCTTTTCTAAGGAGCTATGGTGAGAGAATTTCGTTGGTGAGACAGGGTGGTGCAAAGAAATTTCAGAGGTCTCTGGCTAAATCATGAAAGAAAAAAAACGGTGGAGGACAACACCTCCTGTTCCTTCCCATAGAAGTTGTGGAGTTTTGGTGCTTGGAAAAGTAGAGCTTACATTTTTTTCAAGCAAGGCAACTTACCATATGAGAAGAGAGAGTCTGGACTAGCCTCCAGGCTCATAAGAATCTGAAGGTGAAGGCTAACTTCAGTGTCACATATGGCTGAGGCCAGAAGTCCCCCAAACCAGGCTGCCCTGCCACAGAGGTATGCTTTGGAAATGATGCCTACACATGTGTGTGAATGGAAAGATCCCCACTCATGGGAACCTGAGGAGGGAGCAGCATTTGGGGGCTATTCAGAAGTCGGGACCAACAAGGCGAGGGCACAGCAGTGGACAGAGACGTGGTTGCTGGTGCTAGAACTATTTTCAAAAGTGCCCTGTGTGGCCAGGGCCAAGGCAAAGGGAGCTCCAAATTTTTCCTGCCATTTGGAGGCAGGGCAATTGGGGAAAAGGTGAGACAGAGAGAGAGAGTGAGAGAAAAAGAGAAAGAGGCAGAGAGAGAGAAAGGCTGACTTGCAAATATGTGTAAGTGGTAGTTTCATTGTGACTTTTATTTGAACTTGAAAATTGCAAAGTAAGACATATGACTGCAGTTGTAACTCCAGGCTAGACAGGCAGGTCCTGTGAGGTGTACCGCGTTTTCATCTCCAGACCCTCGATTGCCACTTTCCCATCTGACCTTATTACAGGCACTAGCGTGCAGCTCCAACACAGATCATAAGTTCTGAGCAGGAAAGACCCCGTCTTGGGCTGCTCTTTGTATTTTCAACAGAGCACAACATGGTGCCTCAGTTACGGTACACATTAACTAAATTCTTGTCAGGTTCGATTGGAAGCAGGTTGAATTGAACAGAACATACCTAAGGCCAAATGTCACAGAAATGCATACCTTCGCTTCATTAGATTAGACTAGCTCACAGCCACATTCTTGGGGCAGGACTAAAGACAGGTATTAGGTTTCCCCTGTGCGTATTTCAGCCTGTTTGGCCCTGATGACCTGCAAAGTTTGTTCCGATTTGCATCGGCAGTCATGGGAGACTGAATAGCTACGGATTAAGATGTCAAGTTACTCACACCAGAAAGGTAAAGAGGCCCCGTGGGTAAGCAGCAGGCCCACCCAATCACATCAAGTGCCTGCATTTCTGTTCCTCGCTGTGCTCACTGACCCTCGTGACCTTAACCAAATCCCCCTTTCCACCTTTTTCTCGTCTCAGGTTCAGTTTTCTTTTTTTTTTTGAGACAGAGTTTTACTCTGTCGCCAAGCTGGAGTGTTGTGGTGCGATCTTGGCTCACTGCAACCTCCGCCTCCCAGGTTCAAGCGATTCTCCTGCCTCAGGCTCCTGAGTAGTTGAGGCTACAGGTGTGGGCTCATTTTTGTATTTTTAGTAGAGATGGGGTTTCACCATGTTAGCCAAAATAGTCTCCATCTCCTGACCTTGTGATCCGCCCGCCTCAGCCTCCCAAAGTGCTGGGATTAGGGTTCAGTTTGCTTAAAGTAGAAATAATCATAGCAGTCCTCATCCTATCTTAATGGAAACCAGAGGCTTTTAGAACAGTAAGATTACCTAGCCCCAAAGTCTTACTTTACTAACAATGAAACTGGGGCACAGGTACAATTAGAATGGCTCTTCAGATCTCTGGACCAGCAAGGGCGCTGGCACGGCAGTGGGCAGATGTAGTTGCCGTGCTGGAACTCTCCTCAAAAGGGCCACTGTGTGGCCAGGGCCAGACAAAGAGAGCTCCAACTCTTCCTGGTATTTGGAGGCAGCACAATTGGGGAAGAGGTGAGGCTTCATGGAAATGTTCTTGACCTGCTAGACACAGAGTGAGGTGTGCCAGGTGCTGGTGGTCATGAGGGTAGGGCTGAAAAGGGAGGCAGCCAGTGCACCAGACTCCTTTTGCTGGCTCCCACCTCTGGGTCCAAGGAGGTAACAACTTCACACGTGCCAGCCCAACCTCTCAGACTTCCTTTCCCTCGAGTCCTTCCCTCTCCTCCCTGCCTCTAGCCACAGGAGTAGCATGATTCCACGTTGACTGTCCTCTCAGTGCAGACTCTGCGCCAGGATAAGCTCATGCACGTTTGTGACTGACAGGCTTGTGGAAGGATCTGGGACTCCTTCCCATCGCTTGACTTATATGTCTGTGACTCATTTTTACATTACTCATGGATCTCTTATCTTTCTCTGTGCACTGTCAGCTCGTCTACCCCTTGCTAGGGAGGCAGATCTGAAAAGTAGAGGGAGGTTCTCAGAAGTGAAGGAGTCTGGGAGTAGGAGACTCCGGTTAATGGGGTCTTTGGGCTACGGCTACCATGCCACCCTGAGCTCCCCCAGAACCTCCCGAAAGTGACAATGCTCAGTCTGAGATACGGTGGAGCCTCTGAAATGACACAGGGAAAATCGACGCATCCCTCAAAGAGGCTGAGCTCTGTAGAGAAGCATGGGTAAAATGTAACAGAGTCAAATCAATTCAAATAGAGATTTCCAGATCTTTAGAATAAAAAAAAGAAACACCCGATTTACCATGTTGCATTATGGGAAAGTCACAGATTAAAAGGGGCAGAAATAGAGCCCAATTGTCACCCCACAAAGCCAACATCAATGGGCTATGAACTGTGCTGCTCTGTTCCAAATAACCAAACAATGGCTGACCCTGCTTGCCCATGCTGCCAAATAACCAGACACAAAGGGAAACAAGTCCACAGCCGCCCGCCCAGCACGAAGACTCACGTCATGTGATTCCAGCTAACGGGCAAGGCCTAATCAATTGACAGGAACTGGGAAAGTGAATTGTGTCAGTGTTTTCCTGAATCTTTTCTAAGGTGATAAATAAATCATTCCAAGGCTCAAATGCAGAAACAAACTCTGTAATATTGATTCTTTTTCTTTTTTCTTTTGGCCTGAACACAGCAGACGAACAGGACATATCCACTAGCCACACAGCAGCTTTTTAACATTGTAAAGAGTCACTGCTTCACAAGGCACTGTTTTGTATGTGTGGGAACAGGCAACCTGACTTTTACACAGCAATTCTTCACGGTCTATTGACATGACATTTATAGTCAACCCAAGTAGATAATCATAATGGCCGCCACTTATTGGGTGAGGCACAAAGCTTAGGACCCAAAGATCACACAATTAGCAACAGCAATTGTGGGTTCAACCCAGGTTGGTCTTTCTACCGTATCAGAATACCACACATGCTTTGGGCCTATCCACAGAAGGCTTTCCACTTCTCAGCATGCTGAGGTCAAGCAGAGTGGTGATCATGGCAGGACATGGGGAGAGGGCAGGGATACACTTCTGTGTGTTTGGATGTAGCCCTCTAACTGGCCTATATCCCTGAGTCCTTCCCAAGATCAAGCACTAATGATCACCTTGTTGTCTAGACATCTCCCAGTCATCAGTTTCCAAAATCTATTTCTCAGAGTCTTCGGGTTTGGTGGAGGTTATTTTGGAGGTTGCCTTGAAGAGCAAGAAGGAGGCCAAGGTAAAAGCTGAGCAGGTGGGATTCTGAACCTAAATCTTCCCTTGAACTTGATCTGTTTCATCAGTTTTATATATTGCAATTCTATGTGAGATTTGCTTGTGGAGGGGGAAAAAAGTGGGAGAATCCTTGGTCTTCAGCAAAGTGTGAAAACCACTTTGCTGGTTTTCACTGTCTTGGGGGAGGCACTTCCATGGGTCCAAGCTGGCCATGGGCCCAAGCTGGCCCTGAGCGTCTGAAGGGGCTAAGTGACAGCCTGCTGGTGATGCAGTGACTGCTTCCTCACCTGCACCCACCACCACTCTCTCCTGCCACTTATTCGAGTCACCAGCAGTGACCTTGAGCTTCACAGAGACGAAGACACAGTGGACAGCACAGAAAGCATTCAAATAAATGAGCTTAAGATTACCTGGCACAGCAGCTGCCATGGAATCTGTAGAAGTACAGGAATGGGAAGTCCAGGACGCTGAAGAAATCACCTGAGGGGCAGAGCAATGGTGAAACAGTGACCCATGCGGCCTCACATGCCCCTCTGCCCCCTGCCGTCCCAGGAAATGCAAGGAGGGGGTCTTTAGCAGGCCTGTGTTTTCAGTCCCCTGGCGTTAAATTCACTCTGACATCCCCAGGGATTCTGTTACTGACATTGTCTTATGATAATAGCAGTATAATAATAACACCCATTTAGTGAGAGCATGCCTTGTGCAGGGCCCAATGCTAAAATCTTTAGGTATTTATCTCTTTCAATCTTAGTAACAACTCTGTGAGGTTTTATTATGTCCATTTAAACTGGGGCTCAGGGAGGTTAACAAACATGGCTAAAATTGCACAACTCTTAAACTATGGAGCCAGAATGTGAACTCCAGTCAATCTAAACCTTAGGCTGTCTCCTCTCTACTAGGCAGCCAGCCCCCCACAAGAGAGTGTGCAGTATAAAAAAATCTTTTTCAAGAGTCTTTCCTTCTTTTCTGCCTTATATCTAAAAAAAGGTCATGGAGGCATTGCCCTGACTTTTTTTTTTTTTTCATTTTCATGTTTAATGACTGCAAGAACAGCACGGGGGCCAGACCAACTGTGCAAATTCATTTTAGTTGGAGGTCCAAAGGGTACATTTATTTCTTGTGAAGTAAGTTCATTCTTTTAGTTCCACTTGGTGCAGGAGGAAATAATCACACATATTGGCTGTTTCTCTCTCTGGAATTTGAACTTGGTCACAAACAAGAAGTCAGGAGATTAAAAAAGCAGAAAGCCTTCCAAAAATGTCCAGAGAAAAGGAATGAAGCATTTCCACAGCAGATAGCTTGAGCCTTCCAAATCTGAAATTTCTGAATCCCCTGGAGAGCTCTGTCTTCCAGACCCCTGGGCCTTGGCCTGTCTCTCAGTTCTGGGAGTTGAGGGAAGGGGGCTGATTTTCCTAAGTATTCCTAGTATGCTAGGTGTGCAGTGGAACACACAGGCAGCATTTCCTTCACCATTATGCTATTACTCAAGAGTTTCAGATCAAAAGACACAAGGGGTTCCTATGCTTTCTTGGAGACCCAAAGGATCTCAAATGATTCAACTATCTATTGGGAAGGAAAGTTCTGAGTTCGATTTCTCCGGAGGGCTTTTTAAAGTTATAACTGTTATTTTCTTTGATTTGTTTCTGCAAGTGAGTACGTGTTTAACTATAACGAGGGGATTTCTTGGGATCTGGTTTTCATGAAGCACAAGAGTTCTTATTTTCTTTCAGCCACGATTTCTCTAAATACCTCTCCTGTCAAATTGGGACCTGTGTTGGTAGAGGGAATTTGTCAATGACATCAGTTGTCATTTACAGTAAGAAGAGCATGGATATATTCTGAAGTTCCTTTTCACACAGAAGTGATAGGCAAGGGTGCCCTGGGGACCCCAGACCCAGAGAGTGGTCAGAGCCGTCCACTGAGGCAGGTGGAGGCAGAGTCTGTCCACGTCCATGGAGAATTCGTTCCGTCTCTTTGGCAGTTGTGAGCTCTTGGCCCTTTCCCAATTTTCCTCTCAGGGTGAGAGGAACTGCAGCACAGCCAGTGTGGTTGCAAGGAACGGTGGAGAGGGGGGCAAATGAAACCCAGGACCTTGAGACCCCTCAGGCTGCACCCCTCTCGGCACCCCGTCTTTCATCACTCCAGCAAGGTAAACAGGCAGGTTTTCTAGCATAGCCCACATTTTGGAGGGGGTCTAAAGAGCAGAAGCGTGGTCAGAGGAAGACTGGGAGGGAGGAAAAGAAAGAAAGAAAGAAAAAACCACAGTCTTCAGGAAATAATAACCCCCTCCCAAATCCTGAAAACTGACCCCATAAATTAATGACAGAGAGAAAATAAGAGAGTAGCTAAGTCCTTACCTTTGAACCATTTCTAAAACCGTCACACCTGTATCACATAGCACTTAACTGACTTCACACCTGTTCCTCCTCCTAGAATTATCGAGTCCCTGAGAGTTGGGACGCTATTTTACTCATCCCTGCACCCACCGTGTGCAAGCGCCATACCCAGCATACCCAGCACACAGCCAGCACTACCAAATCGAGAGCGTCGGAAAGACCTGATCATCTCCTGCCTTCCCTAGAGCGAATGTTCTAGCTTCCAGCTGGCTCTGTGGTCCTCAATTTCAAGCTGACCTCAAATAGTCCCCTTTAAGGCCTTCCACCTGTCTTCTCTTTTGCTAAGTAGTACTCCTAAGCAGAGAGGGTGCACAGCAGCCCTGGAACAGCAAATGTTACTGACTGTGCTATAAATACCCCCGGAAGAGGTTGCAGCGTGTGGCCGGCTGGCCCAGCCACATGCAAACTCAATCCAGGAGCCTAAAAAATTGCTGCAAGACAACACTCTTGCACCATCTAGTGCTGAACTACACTGCTGAAGCTCAAATCGAGTGGCTAAAGAGTTGTAAACATGTTTTCCTACAGCAACATGCAGCTTACGCAATGGAGTCTGAGCTGGGCCCTCGCTCTTGTATTCTGCAGTTGAAATTCCGCTGACTCTGAGTGAGCGAGTGAATCCCATTTCTCTAAAGATTACGCAGCATGAAATTGCCACGGTGAAAAGTGTGGCACGATACAACCACATTCAAGACTAACTGATATTTGAACGTGAGGAAAATTTCCTCTCATGTTCCCACCCTCAAAACTGGCAGGAAAACAGGGGGTCGGTTCCAAGCAGTGATTAGTGCTGCCTGCTCGGTCTCACACACGAGTGACAGACACACCAGGTAACAAGGTTGTTTCTGGGTCAGGTTCCCGAGTCTCCCTGTTCCTCTCCCATTCCCTGAAATTTCCTAGAGCTCTCTTGAGCACCGCAGCTAAGGGACCCCATACAAATAGGAAGTGTAAACTCTTTAACGGGAAATTTCCTGTTTTCTACTAAAAAGAGTGTGGTGGTCCTCTTCTCAAGGAAGGTTACGAGATTCTCGGAGCCTTGACATGAATCGTGAAGTCAAAAGGCTAAAGGGAGGAGGATTCCACCCACCAAGCAGCAAACTCTGTGGTGGGGCACGCTGAGGGCACGTGGAACCGTCTGCCTGAGTCCCACCACCGTTGCCCGCGCACTCCTCAGGTGCATCGGTAAGAGAGCCCCTCTTTCCAATCAGGAGAGTGAGGAGAGAAACTCGAGCAAAGCACTAACCAGAAGCCCTCACACACCCTCTAGGGGAGTTCAGATAGGACTGACACGTTACGTGCTGGTGAGGATGTGGAGCAACTGGAACTCTTACACACTGCTGGGTGGGAGTGGAAAATGGTACAAACGTTTCAGAAAAAACCCTTTCTTAGAAAGTGAAACATACATCTACTCTAAGACCCAGAAACCCTATTCTGAAGTATTCATCCAAGAGACATGAAAACGTAAGTCCACAAAAAGGCTGGTATGAGAATGTTCAGAGCGGGTGCAAGCTGGGAACAGACTAGGTGAGCATCAACAGGTAAACATAAACAAACATGGCATATCCATACAGTGGAACCCTACTCAGCAACCAAAAGGAACAAACTCATGATACACACAGCAACATGAATGAATCTCTAGACGTTGTGCTGCATGTAACAGCCAGACACAAAAAGTACTAATGATTCCATTTATAAGGGCTTCAGAATAGAGAGAACTTATCTATGGTAACAGACATCAGATCTGTAGAGGTCTTCACAGTGTGGAGAGGGTGTGACTAGGAAGGGGCAGGAGGAAGCTTTCTGCAGTGACAGAAATGTTCTGCATCTTGTTGGAGTATAAGTTACACAGGTCCGTAGATTTGCCAAAATTGATCGAGCTATACAGTAAATTATGTATCAATTTAAAAATGTTTTTAAAGTATGATCAAATAATTAAGATACAAGTAATAAAAGAAGGGTGTAGGATGTGGTGGCTCAAGCCTGTAATTCTAGCACTTTGAGAGGCCAACGCAGGTGGTTCACTTGAGGTTAGGAGTTCAAAACCAGCCTGAACAACATGGTGAAACCCCATCTCTACTAAAAATACAAAAATTAGCTGGTGTGGTGATGGGCACCTGTAAGCCTAGCTACTCAGGAGGGTGAGGCAGGACAATCACTTGAACCCAGGAGGCAGAGGTTACAGTGAGCAGATATCACGCCACTGCACTCCAGCCTGGGCAACATAGTGAGACTCTGTCTCAAAAAAAAAATAAAAATAAAAAGGAAGGAGTAAGAGGAAACCAAAAAGAACTGAGCTCAGCTATAAAATGTCTGAAAGTATGAACAGATCCTTCCAAGAAGACTGTCCCTATGGAGCCTGATTGTATCTTAACTGGGGCAGTGGGGAACCAGGAAGACAGCTCGCCCTAACCCACACTCAGGCCCTGCAGCAGATGGTCTAGATGGCAAGTGTAACAAGCAAGTGAGAAAGAATAAAGTGTGGTCCTACCTTGCAATGGGCTAGACACCATGGGTCCAATCAGAAAGCTAATGAATGAACTGGCAGGAATTGGAGCCACTCTGTAAGAGTTGCCCTGCTCCCTTACAGCAAGGGAGCCCACAGTCACTTCTGCGGCCGACACAGCCAGTGCCACGGCCCGGCAAAACCTTTCTTATAAGCCTGATTTTCCGTACCTGGCCTCTGCAATGACACCACCTCAGCTGGCAGAAAATGGCAACAAATCAAAGTAGCAGACAAGAGTCCTTCAAGGGCAGTGTCCCAGGACACTCCAGGGACATTCACAATCAGGGCATTGTGGAGCCTGCTGGATTCATCAGAGAGAGTCCTGGGACACTGGTTTGCCCACCGCAGACCCATCCCCCACCCTGCAGGAGAGGGCAGGGAAGGTGAACATCTATGTCCGTTCTTTTTCAAAAATCATGAAAATATAACTTGAAGAAAAATTATTCCATGCAAGTGTCCCTTCTGGCATAATTAGGCTCCAAACAGGTTTTCAAATGAGAGAGATGTCCTTGTATTCTCCCAATATATTTTCTTATTGAGATATAATTTGCATATTATAAAACTCACCCTTTTAAAGTGAACACTTCAGTGGTTTTTAGTATATCCATAGAGTTGTGCAACCATCACCACCATCTAATTCCAGAACATTTTCATTACCTCAAGAAGAAACTGAAGCCTATTTTAAATTACTCCTTTGCCCAGGACATTCTACAGTCTTATATTTCTGACCACTTTGTATTGCCAGAGAGTAATTAAGTGTCCAAGGTATTTATGTATTGAGCTAAAAGTTTAGCAGTAACTCAAGGAAAACATTAGACTGTTGGTCAAAATGTCTAAGCTATTACCAGCAGTCGCCATGTTCAGAAACACATCTCCCAAACCAAAAGCAGTTCCAAACAGAAATTTAAGAACATTGTACAAAAGCTTTCACCGGAGTAGGACAATTTATAATAAAGTGTAGGGGGCCAGGTGCAGTGGCTCACACCTGTAATCCCAGCAATTTGAGAGGCTGAGGCAGGCGGATCACCTGAGGTCAGGTGTTTGAGACCAGCCTGCCAGCATGATGAAACCCCGTGTCTACTAAAATTACAAAAATTAGCCAGGCATGGTGGCAGGTGCCTGTAATCCCAGCTACTCAGGAGGCTGAGGTAGGAGAATCACTTGAATATGGGAGGCAGAGGTTAAAGTGAGCCAAGATAGCGTCACTGCACTCCAGGCTGGGCAACAGAGCAAGACTCCGTCTCAAAAATAATAATAACAATAAGGTGTCAGATCACTTTATTGTTATTGTACTTTATTGTTACTTTGATAAAGTGTACGATCAAAGAGCAGCATTTAAAAATCACTTTATTGTTATCGCTTTATTGTTACACTTTAATAAAGTGTAGGATCAAAGAGCAGCATTTAAAAAGACAAACCTAGAAAGAGAATCAGGAGACCTATCCCCAGTCTCCCTCTGCTCCTTGCCTACCCTGTATCATCTTGGTCACATCACTTAACCCCTCAGGGTTTCAGTCTCCACATTTGTATTAGGTCGATGCACAAGTAATTAATACAATTTGGTGGCACCTGGGAGAATCGCTAAGATTCCTTTCAGCTCTGACCATCGTAAGTGTAACAAATTAACAAGCACAACCTCTTAGCGGAAGGGCAGCGTGATTTCTTTAGGTAAAAATTATTCACCCAGCCAGGCGTGGCGGCTCATGCTTATAATCCCTGCACTTTGGGAGGCCAAGGCGGGCAGATCACTTGAGATCAGGAGTTCGAGACCGGCCTGGCTAACATGGTGAAACCCCATCACTACTAAAAATGGAAAACTTAGCCAGGCGTGGTAGCAGGTGCCTATAACCCAAGCTACTCAGGAGGCTGAGGCAGAAGAATCGCTTGAACCTGGGAGGCAGAGGTTGCAGTGAGCTGAGATATACCACTGCACTCCAGCCTGGGCAACACAGCAAGACTCCATAAAAAAAAAAAATTATTCACTCAAGTCCACTAGAAATAAGTCAGGATGTAAACATATATGTAAATCAAGGAGAATCTGTGAACATAACTTTCCAAAGGCCTTTGACAAAAGCACAATTCAAAGGGCAGGATACTCAGTAGGCTCTAAAATATCTGCTGGGTGGCAGCTGCCTGGCTGCATAAAGAAATGATAAGAGATGCAACTGAAAGGCAGACAGCCAGCAGTATGGGTAAGTGGAACCCGCTTAGGGTTAACAGCCTGGCTTCACAGGACTTACTATTCTAAGAAGGATAGACTTTGAGCAAATGACAGCAGGGGGGACTCAACAGTAAACCTCGGAGTTTTGAGAAGTCATCATTCACAGGAGCGGGCAGACAGTAGGAACTGTGCTTTCATATGGCAAGCAGAGTGTAATGTATTAAGAAAAAAGCATTCAAGTTATCCTTATGAGACATGGATTCAGATATGTCATATACAATCTAGAAACATTATTCTTGATTCACTATCAACAACTCCCTGAGGATCCTCATTCAGATAGCAGGTAAAACACCAACAGAAAGAAGCAGCTAAAAACACCAACAGAAAGCTGTTATTGCTTTGAGCACAGGATGAGAGCTAGAAGGGACCTTAGAAAGCAGCCAGTTCACCGTTCTTATTTTCTAGATGCGAAAACTGGGACCTAGAGGGCTTGGGTAATGCCTTCTGCATAGCAAGTGGTCAGTAAACATTCATTTTGTGGTTTGTTTGAAAAAAAATGATCTTAAGCCCACTCAGTAGGCGAGCCAAGGAAAATTCCAATTATTCTGAGTCTACTATTTGCACCACACTCCACGAAGCCACAAAGAGAATGACCAATAAAATGTGTATTTTCAGCCATGCCACACACAGACATTATTGTTTTATCTTTTTGGGGGGGATGGAGTCACAGTCTCACAGTGTCGCCCAGGCTGGAGAGCAATGGCATGATCTCAGCTCACTGCAACCTCCGCCTCCTGGATTCAAGAGATACTCCTGCCTCAGCCTCCGAAGTAGCTGGGATTACAAGTGTCCACCACCATGCCCAGCTGATTTTTTGTATGTTTAGTAGAGACGGGGTTTCACCATATTGGTCAAGCTGGTCTCAAACTCCTAACCTCAGGTGATGCACCCACCTCGGCCTCTCAAAGTGCTGGGATTACAGGCATGAGCCACCATGCCCGGCCATTGTTTTATCTTTTGGCATCAACTTCAAAGCCTTTCAAAGCAAAAAACTGTGATGAAATAGGGCCTTGTGGGCAATTCCTAAATCTGAAAAGCAACTACAGAGCAATTGAAGCAGCAATAGAGTGAAGATACATTTTAAAAATTGACTTCTTTCATCTGCAATTATGAGAATCATGGTGACACACGATACAAACTTAAAAAAAATGATGCCAGATAGAAAGAGTATAACACTGCATTTGCAAAATTCAAACAAGAATTACAGCACCAACTCCTTCACTTAGTTCTTATATTTACCCCTTAATATTTTATTTGAGGTTACCCTTTGGGGTAATTCTGATAATGGAATTTAGGGTATCATAGCAGGCCCTGGGACACATTTTTGGATGGCAAGAGGCCCCTCATATTCTCCTATAAAAACAATAACTTCTGCTCCTGAAGTTATAACCAAAAAGGGATTCAGGGAGTTTATTGAACTTTTGAACTTTTTCACCAAATCTTTTAACAATAGAAATGAACAGCAGGCCAGGCACGGTGGCTCACGCCCACAATCCCAGCACTTTGGGAGGCCGAGGTGGACAGATTATGAGGTCAGGAGTTCAAGACCAGCCTGACCAATATGGTGAAATCCTGTCTCTACTAAAAATACAAAAATTAGCCAAGCGTGATGGCGCATGCCTGTAGTCCCAGCTACTCAAGAGGCTGAGGCAGAAGAATTGCTTGAACTGGGAGGCAGAAGCTGTGATGAGCCGAGATCATGCCACTGTACTCCAGCCTGGGCTAGAGCAAGACTCCATCTCAAAATGAATGAATGAATGAATGAATGAATGAAATGAAGAATAATTCAGGATGCTTGGAAAAGGAATTTCAGAAGAGGGCAAAATAAGCACTAGTTTACTCAGCAGGAAATGGACTTGGCTATATATCTGAGATCATACCAGAAGAAAACACAGACAACAGGAAGGGGTAAGAATAAATTCCTGGGCAATAAACTGCTTTATTAAGGACAGTTTAAAAACAGGCGGGACTTTCCTCCCCTTGCAGTCACCCTTGGCGGGGCAACAACATTCTCTTGTGAAATGTCTCTGAGAGACAGCCTCACTGGGTCCAATAAGCAACGTCAGACAGACAAACAGAACAACACTCGGGTGGCGCTTACCTGTGGGATGAGATGCAAATGCCAGGAGCACCACACTGGAAAAGAGACAGCAAAGTAGTCAAGAGGGTTCCCTGTCACCAAAAAAACCCATCCATTCCCACCCATTTACTTGGAAATAGTTAAAATTTGCCTAAAAGCAAACTATCTGCGCTGACTCATTCTGCCTAAATCCAGCTCCTCAGAGAGAGTAAGAATGTCTTGAAATGTCTCATGTTTTGGCAAAAGGACTGCCTCCTGGGACAGGCTTAGGACAGAGTGTGAATCCATGTCTCAACCTGAGGGTCCGCTGGGTCTCTTTTCTTGGTCCTGGCTGACTCTAATTACGAACAAACTCACCTACTCTACCAAGAGTATTTATAAGCTAAACAAAGCAAGCTCTAAATTAAAATGGGCTGCAATGTAAACTAGCTATTGTGTGTGAGCTACATATATTTTTGCCACACAATTAGCTGTGTAGAAGATAGCTACATTTCCAAGAGGCTAGCCCACAATTGATCCAGCCCATCCACCGTGTGGCTGAAAACTACCTTTACTGATTTTCAATAGATGCCACAGAGGGGAAATGATGAAAAGAGAATCAAGAGGAGTGTTCCTTTGATATGAGCCCCATTCGTCCTTGGCACCCTCCCTTCGCCCTCTCTAGAAACCCCTCCCATTCCCCCTCACCCCTCTGCAGTGCCTTCACGAGGCCAAACCCCACTTGAGGGGCTCCCCACCCTCTGCAACCTCTTCTATCAAAACTCTCGCCACCCAGGCAGCCGATCAAGTTAGAGGTTAGGAATAAAACATGTTATCTAAGTATGAGGGAATTTTTTAAAGTGCTAGATCGCCTGCTCTGGTTCTAAATCCTGGCTGCATATCAGAATAGCCCAGCATCCTGGCTGAAATCGGAATCTCTGAGCAGCAGGCATCAGTTGTTTTATTTTGTTACGGCCCCCCAGTGGCTCTAAAGTGCACCAGGATTGGGAACCACCACAAGGAATCCCCAGCTGGTGGTGACATCCCAGGCAGTGTGGAGGAAGACGGCTGTGAGCACAGAAATCACTGGGAGCCCCACCTGCTCTGAGGGTTATCTCCTGGTGCCATTTCTGTGTTTCTTGTGCCCTTCCTTTGCTCTTCCTATAAAGTTCAGGTTCTCTGATGGCCCCAGAGCAGCAGCAGAGTGGCTAGCAGAGGCTAGACAGGAGGTTTGGGAGAAAGCCAATGGGAAGAGCCACACATCCATCCAGTCATTGAGAAGCTGTAGGTTTGTAAGACAGGGCTGCATGTAGCTATAAATGAGACTGGATGCTTCACAATAATTAGCCCTTTGCATGGACTCTTTATGTCTTTGCTTGCCATCTCGCCTTTCTTTGGAAAATATATACCCTGTACATACTCCATTATTTTACTTCCCTGAACCCCTTTGTGGTTATAACTTCTGGAGCAGAAGTGATCACTCTTATGGCAGGATATGAGGGGCCTCTTGCCATCCCAAAACACCTCCCAGAGCCTGTCATATATCCCAAATCCCATCATCAGAATCACCCCAAAGGGTAACCTCAAATAAAAGATTAGGAGGTAACTATAAGAAATAATTAAGTGAAGGAGGTGGTCCTTTAATCCTTGTTTGAATTTTGCAAATATATTGTTCGGCCACTCCTAACTCCTATCAAAGCAGGCCATTCAGCACTTAAAAAAAAAAAATTCCCTCTGATACTTAGATAACGTGTTTTACTCCTAACCTCTAACTCGATAGGCCGCCTGGATGGCATGAGTTTTGATAGAGAGGTTGCAGAGGGTGGGGGACTGGGCCCCCCACAGCAGGGTTCAGCAGTGTAAAGGCATGGCAGAGGGGTGCTGGGGGACGGGATGGGTTTCCAGAGAGGGCAATGAGAGGGTGTCAAGGATGAATGGGGCTCACATCAAAGAAAACTCCTCTTCATTCTCTTTTCATCCTTTCCCCTTTGTGGCAGGCTACACTTCGACCTCCTTGAGGACAAGGACCATATTTTACTTTGGATCCCTAGCAGTGCCAGGAATCAAGTGGCAGGTTCTCAGTAAGTTTTCTGAACTGGAATTAATCACCTCTAGGTGTACTGTGGTGGGGCTATGTTTGTTTGAAGAAAAATGTAACTTGAAGCCCTGAATACTTTTGTTTGTTTGTTTTCTGAGGCAAGATCTCCCTCTGTCGCCTAAGCTGGAGTGCAGTGGTGTGATCATAATTCACTGTAACCTTCAACTCTGGGGCTCAAGTGATCCTCCTGCCTCAGCCTCTCAATGTGGAAACGCTTATAGTTCTAAGATTATAAATTACATGTAAATTATAATGAAGAAATTATACTAATATAAAAGAGGCATATCATACTGTTGTAGTAAGCAGGCTCATTCTCTGCTTGGCTTGGGACAAGGGTACAAACAGAAGTACACATACCATATTTAAAAGTTATGAATCAAGCCTCAAAATTCATCCTACCTTAACAAATATACCTTCAAAATAACCTGAAAGTCTGGATGAAAATGTAGAATTCTTGGGCTCCCTGGTGCTGCATGTCAGAGTGTAGCAGCCCAGGGCAGCCTCTGACTCCTGGCTGCCAGTGCCCCCCTTTTCTTTGCATCCCAGGCTCCATCCTGCAGCCCCAGGGCCTCACACATGCGTGTGGACACCTGAGCCTGCAAGGTTACCTCCACCTACATGCCTGCCCACTGGCCGTCTCTCTTTGGACACCCCTTGGGCTTGGGAATGAGTTGGGAAGACAGACCGGGAATCAAGCTCAGGGACACAGGTGGGGGATTCAAGGACACACCCAAAAGCAAGAAACGTCCCTGAGCCTCACAGATGCCACACTCAGGAGGAGGGACGTGGCCCTCTGAAGTTCAGGGCCTGAGAGAGGCCCCTCTTGCTTGGTCTAAAGGCAGGACTACTATTTGGTTTCCTCAACTCTAGTCATCTCACAAATTTTGTCACTTGTCTTCCTGGCGAGCACATTGGCTCAGAACTCTTCAATCAAAATAATATTGAAAAATAAGAATCCATTAGCCCTAAAAGGATATGAATGGTT